ATTTTAATGTAAACCAGTAAATTCAACAATTCACACTGCTATTAAAATCTGTTTTGTCCCTTTAACATACTGACAACCACCATAATAATGCAGGTGGTAAAAGAGAAAGCCACATGAAGAATCAAAGCTCATCACAAGTAGCTTCGCCACAAGCAGAAGTATATACTAATATATAGAAGGTGCACAGAGTCATTCATGCAAACACAAAACACCATCATGGTAACACACATGATACTTAAATAATGCATTAAACTTTCATTAAACAACAGAAGATGTAACATAAAGCCCAAATATACATAACTAATAATAAAAACTATTTAAAAAACATGATTATTTAAACAAAGTACTTTCAAATGTGGAGTGTCATGCAGGGAATTCTGGGAATGTCAGTTTACAGTTTTTGATTAAATTATACATTGATTTGTTATTTTTACTTTTAAAAACTAAAATTAACAGCATTTTACTGTAAAATTACATGAAATGTCTGGTTAGATATTTTACAGTTTTTCCCTGTATATAGTACGGGAACTTACTGTTAACCTATTAACAGTTTTTTTCCGTAGCGTTTTTACAAAATTTTACAGTTAAAATTACACTTATTTTTTACAGTGTAGGAGATAGAACGATAGAACGATAGATAGATAGAACGATAGATAGAACGATAGATAGAACGATAGATAGAACGATAGATAGAACGATAGATAGAACGATAGATAGAACGATAGATAGAACGATAGATAGAACGATAGATAGAACGATAGATAGAACGATAGATGTTTTTGTGTCGTTGCTCCGGCCGTACACGGCATCATCACAGTATGGTGAGGGGCGTAACATTTCCGTCTCATGCTTGAGGTATTCGGCCAATCACAACGCATTGGATATCTGGCCAATCAGAGCACACCTCGCTTTTCAGACCGATTAGTTTTGTAAAAATCGACGCGTTTCAGAAGGCGGGGCATAGAGGAGAAACAATAATGTACAGTATGTGGAAAATAATGTGTTTTTTTAACTTTAAACCGCATAAACACATTTCATTACACCAAATACACAAAATAATGTTCTTTTTAGCAGCATCATATGACCCCTTTAAATAATGCATTAAACTTTCATTAAACGACAGAAGATGTAACATAAAGCCCAAATATACATAACTAATAACAAAAACTATTAAAAAAACATGATTATTTAAACAAAATACTTTCAAATGTGGAGTGTCATGCAGGGAATTCTGGGAATATCAGTTTACAGGTTTTTTGTTTATTTGTTATTTTTACTTCTAAAAACTGTAAAATTAACAGCATTTTACTGTAAAATTACATGAAATGTCTGGTTAGATATTTTATAGTTTTTCCCTGTATATAGTATGGGAACTTACTGTTAACCTATTAACAGTTTTTTTCCGTAGCGTTTTTACAAAATTTTACAGTTAAAATTGCACTTATTTTTTACAGTGTATCAGTCACAATTCAAACAGATTAAAAAAAATAATTTATTGTCCAAGATTCGTTTTTATGTATCTGTGCTCCTATGAGGTTTAGAGCCTGATGACATCTCTGTTCTGACGTCCTCTCCGTGCACCATAGTCCAGGACAGTGCCCTCAAAGAGTCTGGCCATGAATGCCAGGCCATCAGCTTTGATGTAGGAGCGTCCAGCAAAGGCGTAGAGGACAGGATTGGCACAACTACTGATAAAAGCCAGAGCGGATGTAACAGCACGGCTCGACTGCCAGATGTCATCCAGTCTGAGGATAGATAGAGTGTGTGGTTACTTTGGTTCTGCTGACTTTTTGAGAAATATCTGTGGACTATTTAAAATCTTCAGTTCATTTACTTCTTTTTGAGCGGTGATTCCTTTGGCGTAAGAGCTGCTACCACCTGACCAGAAGACAAATGATAATTCATACATTGTGCTCAAAAAGATTACCAAAAAGAAATAGAAATGACTTACTTGCACTATATTAATACTGTGGTAAGGAAGCCAAAAAATGCAGAACGTCACAATAATAGCTTGAATAAGGTTTTCGCTTCGTATCCATCTCTTGAACATGGTCTGTCTGAGGCGGCGAAGGATACACACATAACTGCTGACGATGATCACATATGGCACCAGGAAGCCCACCACTGTCTCAAGAGTGTACTGAAACACCACCTGATCATAAAAGACAATTATGTATGAATTATAAAATTATGTAAGGGATAAACAGTCAGCTGTTCATTATCAGAAAATAGTCAGTTTGATCTCCCGAAGGGGTTTGTATTGTTATAGTAACCTACTATTGTGTATTATAGTTCAGCAGGGATGTCCAATCCTGCTCCTAGAAGGCCACTGTGCTGCAGAGTTTAGCTCTGCAGGACAGTGGCCCTCCAGGACTGAGTTTGGACACCCATGTAGTACAGTAATAATAATAGTGAAGTCATCCGAGGCTGTTTTCAATATAATTGGTAACTGAAGCCAAGTTGGTGCCAATTGTGTTTATATTAGTGGATCTCAGTCTTTTTGACTTAAAGGCCCCAATTGTCCAACATAACATTCAAAGTCCCCTTATATAAGCTATAATTATTACTTCAGTGTTTAATTATGATATTTTCAATAACAGAAACTGGGAGTGTCAAAATATATCAATAATCATAAGCCATAAAACTGTTTATTCTTTAATGAAACAATATAATAATAATACTTATTATTATAATCATATTTTGGAAATAGGTATTGAAATGGTTAATAAAAATACCTAAATAGTTTATACCTTGATTTTTTAAAACAGTTTAATGAAGTTAAATTATTTTAATATTAATTAAGGAGTAATCATTCACTCCCCCTCATGTCATTCCAAACTTATATGAACACAAAGAAAGATATTTTGAAGAACGTTGTTTGCCAAACAGTTTCCAGAATTTCCATTGCATGTTTTGTCCATATAAGGAAAGTTCATGGATCACCGCAAATGTTCGGTTACCAACATTCTTCAAAATATCTTCTTTTTTGTTCTGCAAAAGAGAGAATGTCAGATTTGGAATGGCATGAGGGTGAGTAAATAATGACAGAATATTAATTTTTGAGTGGACTGTCCCTTTAATAATTTTCAGTCATTCTGTGGCCCCCCTTAGTAGTTTGCTGAGGCCCTCTCTTTGAGTACCACTGGTTATATGAAACGAGCAAATCTGTGGTGTGATATGAGAAATATGAAGTATAATGCTGAGCAGTTTGATATACAGTGTTATTCTCAAGTATTAATGGAGCATAGAAACTCACATGCTTTGAACTCTTGTGATGAGTTGCGCACACAGTGCGTTCCTTCCCATTGTCATTCTTAATTTCTTCTCTGAATATCAAAGCCGGAAGTGCCAAAAGAAATACGACAATCCACAGGCCACCAAGCACAAGTAATACTGTCCGTCTACGAGTGCAGGCAGTCAAGTATGTGGGCCACATCACTGCCACTAGTCTGTGTAGACTCATCAGCGTAATGATCATAATAGAAGCATACATGTTTGTATTGCACAAGTAAAAAAGCAGCTTGCACATGACACTTCCAAATATCCAGTTCTGCTTGGCTAGGTATATTATAAAGAAAATTGTCAGACACATCAGACAACCGTCTGCACAAGCCAGGTTGAGGATGAGCAGGGTGGTGACGGAGCGTTTGCGGGCACGTGCTAGGATGCTCCATATAATGAAGAGGTTGCCAGGAACGCCCAGAAGGAAGACAATGCTGAGGATGAGGGCCCCAAAGGTAACAGAGATATTGTTACTCACAATGCTCTCATCCTCGGAATGGTTGGTCATGTTTAAGGAGGTGTTCCCATTATCTGATCCCATCAGGAAGACGTCAGAAAAACTGGTGGAATCAGAAATCACAGGTTATCCAATTGGTGTATTCCAAATGACGTATTATGAATTATTGAGGATTTTTCCTTTTATAATATTTCCTTCAGAGGCAAATAAAGTATGAGCCAGTATTAAGGATGGGCTCTCAGCAACCATGTAAACATTGCAATTCTGCCAGTAATCTGCCATCAATGAAAAACAAAAAAAAACTTGGAAACAACATGCTACAACTTGCTGTGTGATCTTGAGCTCAACTACTAGGAACGCTACTGCTGTTTTATCCACTGATCACATTCTCACACTCACCCTCATCTGGAAAGAAACCATTCTATAATTATGCAACTATATACGTACTTATTTTATTTTATTGCAGCAATTGTCAAGAAAAGAATACCATATATAAAGTCAAGTTAAAAGAACAAAGCAAGGAATTTCACAAAATAGAATACGTAGGGTAGTTGCAAAATGAGCAGTAGTGAACCTATCAGTATTGTAATCCCTACAGTGCAAGAAGATAAGATTGTCCAGTTTGCAATGCTGTCACTAAAGTTGTCCCTGATTGTGCACAATGTTGACCTCAGAGCCTCAAAGATGTGTTAAAATTGAGAAACTGGACAGAGTTGCATCAACAGAGAGTGGCCACAAAGGACAAACTGGAGATGGAGATGGAAAAATGTGCAGATTATGGGAAATAACTGGAAGGACTGTCATGTATTTCTGTAAGGATGGCTTCATTAAAATGAGAAAACTGGGAAATTATGAAAGAGAAAAATAAAGGGAAAAAAGGAACAGAATCAAAGAGCATTTCTTGTAACTTACCAATACACTTGATTAGATCTGAATGGCTGAACTGTATTTCCCCTGAAGTGACCAGATGGACCTGGTTAGGTTGTGTGGTCTCCAAGTTGATCTCTCTTTTTCTTTCCCTGTCTCAGATAAACTTTTATATAGCTTCTTCTAAATTTTGTAAATTCTTGTTTTTCCGTGATCTCACTCTATGAAATTTTATATACTATAGCAATCAAACACACTTACTGTATACTTATAAATGTCCAACTGCTTCTTTCTGTCACTAAACTGCTAGTTTCATGTTCATGTTCGTATTTACTCCACCCCCCATCCTTTCTCCTCCCTAATATTTCAACACACCAATTTCTCCATCTTTTTTCTTTAACAAGAAAAAATCTTTTAACCTGCAGGCTACAGCATGCCGGGAGAATGCGGGAAGGAGTGGGTGAGGTGTATGACACAGTTCCACACCTCAGCACCTACACACTTTCTTGAACCTGCTCTTACCAGCTTTAACTTATCTGATAGTTCTTTATCATAGATTACTATACAACTTTCTCTGTTTATTTAAGGAATAGTTGAATATTCTAGCATCATTTACTCACCGGCGTGTTCCCTGACTTTCTTTCCTCTGTGGAACACAGCAGGAGAAACTTAGAAATAGAAGAATGTTTTTTTCTATATAGTAATGAATGGGGATGGGTAGGCCTATACTGTTATAGGCTCCCAAATTACAAAAAGAAAAAAAATAAAGGATAAAAGTATCATAAATAAAAGTGATTCATACAACTCATCTTCAATATTCCATGTCTATTCCCTTGGTACTCAGAAGAGTATTAAATAGAAGGGCAGAGAAGAACACAGGAGTCAGGTCCATCCAAGAAAATGTATGGCACTTTCAACGCTTGGTAAGCATTGGCAATACTTAACCTGCTTAAAAATATAGATTTTTGTTTGGCATTATGGTTCCATGAAGAAATTATGGCTCCATCCACAGAAACGTTACATCACGCAAAAGGTTCTTTATAGTGGAAAAAAAGTTATGAAAGATATGAAATAATAGTCCGAAAAATCTGTTTGTTTTTAACCTTTAGACAAAATACTAAAAAATAACTTTGCATATGTATTTTTTGTTAAGTGTCATATTTGATACATAATTGGTTAATTTTATTGCTCATTTAGCTGAATATAGAGCTTAAGTGAAAAAAGTCACTTTTTATTCAGAGGCCTCTATATGTCCCAATAATATGTTTTGGATTATATTTTACTTTTGTGATCAAAGCTCTGTAGTTTTAATTGTGTGGGGTAAAACATGCAAACATGCAATGCAATTAAGACTGCGAGATGTACAAATAAAATTTGTTCCTCAAAATATGCTCGATGTATCATATCTGATTCTTAAATTTTTTTTTTAACATGATTTTTCTAAAAAATAAAAATTAAAAAAAGAAAGAAAGAAAAAGAAAAATAGTATATAATAAAATATTACTAACAACATAAAAGTTCTTCTTACTTCTGCTTCATAAAAATCTGTTAAGATTTCACAGCAAAAAGACACATGTACCCTGAAGAAGGCATTTTTTTTTTAACATGATTTTTCTAAAAAAGAAAAAGAAAAAAAAGAAAGAAAGAAAGAAAGAAAAAGAAAAATAGTATATAATAAAATATTACTAACAACATAAAAGTTCTTCTTACTTCTGCTTCATAAAAATCTGTTAAGATTTCACAGCAAAAAGACACATGTACCCTGAAGAAGGACAGTACAGGTATAGGCTACAGTATAGGCTTTATAGGGTTAAAAAGTTCTTCAAACTAAAAACTAAAAACATTGCTGTGAAAACTCCCTTTTAGATATGGTATAAAGATGTCAGTGAATAGGGAAATATATTTTCACACACTAACTCGTTGCATGAGTAGAGACTATCAGTGTCCATTATCGAAAATATGACACATTCCTAACCATGCTCCAAATGGGAAAGTACTGTTATATATGAGAAATTTCTGAGAGAGAGAGAGAGAGAGAGAGAGGAAAACTTAGCAAGAAAATTCACTTCCTTATTTCTGACCTATGGGTCATTATTCAGTGACCTGTTTCCCATGAGTAACATAAGCTTCTCCAAACTCTCATGACTGAGTTCAGTGGAGCACCAAAGTGAGCAGCTTAATCACTGCTTTGCATGAAGTTTATAGTAATATCAGATTTGCATATATGTCATTGTGACGTCATTGGAGGCTGTGTGGGAACTAAACATACTAGCTATCTTTGTTGTCCACAGGATGGCAACATTCTCACATAAATGTGCTTTTGGTCTAGTGTGTAAATATAGCTAAAGACAGCACAGATTGCTGCTGATGAGAAGCTCATGCATAACTCTGATATTTTTATAACTTGATGAAATGTGCCACCTCACAATCAAGCCCTGTGCTTAAGACCATAATATCCCATTTCAAAAAGGCTCATATTCTTTATATGCTCTATTCTCTTCCAGAATTATGGCTATTCACATCACTAAATTAAATGGGAATGTAATTCCAGCACTGATGAATGCCAGACGGACGCCTTTGTGAATCAACTCTATCAAGCAACAGATGCTATGAAAAGCTTACTTCCAAGGATCAAACATGAGACGAGCTTTACAATAAGACAAAAGATAATTATTGTGAGAATTGTCAGAGAGCAGGAGAAAGAGGGAGAGAGAGAACATGTTTATTTAAGTTTTTCATCTCCCATCTCAGACAGAGTGCAGACTACAGAGGATAATGAGAAACAGATCTTGCAGTGGGAGGGAAAGGAGGAAGAACTGGGATAAAGAGTTGGGGAGAAGGAAGGGGAGGGACAAAGAAGGGGGAAAGTATGATGGGAAGAGAGAGAGGGCATGCCTATCGTTATGGCGTCATGTATGGATCAGCCTTCAGCATCAGTGTCTTGTCTGAAACAAAAATAGCCACATTGTGTTAAGCATGTGGAAAAGGAATGAAATATGTATTTCTCAGAACCTGTTTGCCAGACAAGGCTTTCACTGGCACCTGTCCAGGGAATTCTCTATTGGACAGAAGAGAATGTCTTTCTGCTTTAAAAAATGTGTGTTGGAATAGATTCTTGTGGGTATCATAAAGTTATAGGCTACTTCACTCTAAAATATGTGGTTGTGCTCACTGGCCAATCAACACACTTTGCCGCAAAAGCGGGCATGTAAAGCTAAAAAAAAGAGGGGGTTTGTTGATTGACAGGATAGATAGCGAATAGGGAGGGCGTAACTGTACTGAGGAACCCGCCCAAAGGCAATTAAGGGTAAAGAACGAAAAAGAACTTGATGTAACTTTTTTGCTCTATGGCGGTGGAGGAGTTATGGGATGAACGTCAGTTCAACGGATATTTGTTATTGAACGTGAACGTATGTGGGACTTGAGGCTGTGAGCATGGCCGGTTCTGGACGATGAAAGTTCGTGAGATGAAGTTATAATAACCGACTGTCACGGAAATCGCAAGGGAATCTACTGGGAAGAACAAAGTTTAAAGAGATGAGCAAATAATAACCTGCAAGGCGATGCGGCGATAAGAAAATGATCCATGCAAATGTGATACTTCAGCTTGAGGATAACTTTTAATTCTTTATTGTAATAAAAGGAAGGCGCACGAAGGAGAACGCGGATCGTGCACCGTGACATTCTGGAAAAGCTGTATGACTTCCATGAGTTTTAAACGGAGCCGATATTGAGAAGTGAGAGAGAGTCAGTGATATATCTGTAGCCGGCCTCGGTCGTACTTTTCTCGGAGTGAGCGATGGGGGCCGCGGCGGGCTCGGGATGGGAGGAGGGAGAGTTCGAGTTCAAGCTCGTGTTCGAGGAGGATCCGCCGCGCCAGAGCCGCTGCGGCCCAGAAGAGACCGAGAGCGGCCAGACGCACCAAGAGCCAGCCGGTATGAGTGGTCAGATGAAAAGATGAAAGATGGAACGGGTAGCGAAGCTATACATATTGGGATGGTGGTGCACATGAGTGGTTATAGGTCTGGGCTGGTAACTGATGTTCTAGGTCTAAAAACCTAGAACTAGTAAAGCTTAACATATAAATTATCTCTGTTGTCCCCTTGAGCAGTCAGTTACTTTACTATAGGGCGCTATGTTAGTAGCTTTGGATAAATAATTAGCGTTTCATTAATTAGGCTATATCAGAATCCTACGGAATATGTACATGATAAATAAATGTACATCTATTTTAAAATATAAAATAAATGTGAATGGGTCAATGACGTGAGGATAATGTTTTACCCCCAAAATACATAGAAATACTATTCAAACGATAAAAAAAAAAAACATATTTTCAATTTCTGAATTAAAAGTAATTTCTGATATTTTTATCATAATTATTTTTTTAAGGTGGAATATGTAGTTTGGCTAATTATTATTATTTCTTTAAAATATGCAGTTAAGCAATTTTGCTTTAAAATATTATTAACATTTAAAAATAAAAACATCTGGCAAATCAGCAATTAAAGCCATTTTGTTGTCACGTGACTAAAAAATATAGAAATAAATAGGACCTTCATAAAAAGGAGTGAAGGTCATTCATTTATTTTTATTTTTAAATCCCACATTTTCACCTTTTATGAGAAGGAACGATTTGTTCAGGTCAGATTAAGTAATCTTAAGGGCACTTCTTTATATTAATGGATCAATTTTGTTTTACATTCACAGATATGTTTGAATTAATTTTAAAATAATATTTAGGCCTAAGTTGTGGACAGTAATTAAGGTGGAAAGAAAATATTTGAGTAGGTTTTGCTTGATGATTATTACACCACTTGACATTTTTGTAGTTATTAGATTTATGTAGAAATGTTTTTAAAATTATATGAAACCCATATAAATTCAAAGACGTTGATCTTGTGTTTTAAGCTTGCTTTTTAAAGGATTTAACCTTTTCATCATCTTGGACATCCTTCTTATATCCTTATTTTGACCCATAGGCAGTACACTGTGCTTATTTTAGAAGACTTTGAATGTCTTTACTCTTAGAAAGGGGCACAATTTTTAATGTCTCTAAAGAATGCTTATATGTTAATGCAGTCTGACTCACTGCCCATGTAACTAAGTTTTATCGGCTGAAGTGTGCGTGTGTTTATGGGTAAGTGTGGAGCACAGTGCAATGTGTTTTTAATCAGCTGTGCGTGTGAGCAGAGTTAACAGCTGCCATCTGGACCTGAACCCTCAATCTCTGTTTACTGAGCATGCATTTAGATACCTCCCTCCAATATTCCCTCTTTTTATATTACCCATCCTCCGCCTTCATTCTGGTGTGAAGTTGCGGAAACA